TCAGAGAGACCCAGAACTGTTGGGTGTTTAACTCTGATCCAGAACTGTGGACTACATTTCACAGTCCTGCATGTGTAACCATTAAAACTGGGACATATGAGGTGCAAACCGTTTTGCTAATGGAAATAATTTTAGTTTTCGCTGCAGCTTGTTCACTTTTCCTGCACTAAGCACAAGCAAGGAACTACACCAACAGGCATGTATTTACAAAAGCTTTTACAGTATGTTAATCTACCTTTTAATATGCTCTTAATAAGGTGTTAACCACAGCTACAGGGGAACTCCTGCCCTAAAATACCAATTTGTGCAGTGACATTTATAATCCAGCGCAGTCAGTCGAGATGAAACACTCGTTCGTGCATGCACTCCTCATCTTTAATGGACATTTTAGGTCATGAATTCAATTCATTTGTCACAGGAAGAATGCAAAAAACTACAAATTCAATAAATAGCAGAACAATTTAAGCAAACTGTACGGTAGGCTTTCTTATATAATTGTGGTTTATGAAAATGTTACATGCAAGCAGTGGAGGCATCGTATCCAACTCTAATATTATTTCCACGTTTAGAGGCTGTTCAACATGACATTAGTTTTGCAGGTGGATGAATTCAGTTGAATGCTGAGGATGACACGAGAAGACAAGTTAAGGAATCACCAAAGTGGTTATAGTTCATCCCTACAGTTGGAAGACTGTGTGTTTGGTGTTTTGTTGGACGATAAATATTCACAAATTCCAAATTCGTTGTTGCACAAAAGGAAACATCAGGGGCTCATGAAAGTCATTAGTATTCATCATCCAAGAACTACAATAGTTTGTGCTGAACTTTGTGACAAACCATCAAGTTGAGATATTTCACAGGATGCAGTAAAAACCTGCTACATTAAGATTCATCATCTGAACACCATTCAGTAAAGGTCTGTGTGAAATATCACAGTTATCCTTTCAATAGTTAGATGTTTCAGTCTGGACCACAATGATGGACCAACATATAGACCAACACTGTCACCCCCAAATCAACACCACCAGCATCGCTACAAATAGCATTCTCAGTCCTACATCTGGGCTGCAAGGTGGCTCGGTGGTTAGCACCAGTCCCTGTGAGAATGCTCCGGATCTTTCCACGTGGAGTTTACATGTTCTCCCCGTGCAGCGTGGGTTCTCTCCGGGTTCTCCAGCTTCCTCCAACAAGGTCCAAAAACATGTTGAGGTTAATTGGTGATTCTAAATTGTCCGTAGGTGTGAATGTGAGTGTGCTTGGTTGTCTGTCTCTAAGTGTAGCCCTGTGACAGACTGGTGACCTGTCCAGGGTGTCCCCTGCCTTCACCCTGAGTCAGCTGGGATAGACTCCAGGCCCCCACGACCCTAGTGAGGATTAAGGTGTAGAGATAATGGATGGATTCCTACATCTTCTGGCAGCTTAGAGTTCTTTGCAGCAGGCTTATATTGCAGTTTGTGGGGAAAAACTGTCATGTTGGATTTTATGTAGTTTATGTAGCTACACCTGTCACTTAGATGTATACCTACCTGATACAACTTCTCTCCAAACGTATTGAGTGCTTCCATAAAAGTCAGTCTGTATAAGAAAGAATCTGTGACTGAAATATCCAAGCTCCAGAAGACAGACATACAGGACCGAAATCCCCAGATGATCCTGAACTGCAGTATACGGTCTTATGTCACTGGGCTTGTAGCAGCTCATGCTTGTCCAAATAAACAGTGAAGCAGACACAAACTGCTGACACACCAAGAGACGGTGACTCACGTAGGAGATAGCATCCACCTGTGCACGTCCACACACACAAACAGTCCCCCGAGCACAGTCGTTGGTCGGTGACGAATCCTGAACCAGACTCCTCAAGTCTGGTTTCATCTTCACCTGAGCGGATCATACCACAGCGGTGAGATCGGGGGACGGCTTCCCTACAGCGGGGCCGACCGAGCAGGACTTTTCAGCTCTGCTTTGTTGCAGCGGAATCCCCTCCGCCTAGGATGGATTGGTCTGTCTGGCCGGGGCCTGCTCAGGGTCGCATGGGGGTTGTGTAAATACGCTCTCACTCTGGGTGGGATGGAAGCTCAAAAGGGATTTTCCATGACTCGCCCCAGTGAATGGAGCGTACCGTGCCAAACAGACGCATCATCCTCCTCCTCCTGAGCGACATAGGGAGCCGTTTAGGTAGCATCGCTGGGGAGTTGGGAGTTTTCCCCCTTTGATTCATCTCCGTTGCTGCTGCTGCCCCCCCGGCTTCTGTCACGACACCAGCCTCAGTGGGTTTCCATATGATGTGGTTGTTTGTTGTGATGGTGATTCTTTCCTACTGATGTCATCTGGAGCAGGGCCACGGGGAGCAATTTTCCGTGTCTGTTTTTGGAATAAATGTTTTACTGAGATAAAGCATCAAAACTTGCCAGAAGCACTTCCTACCCACATCGTCCTACGCCGAATAACTGTGGTCGCAAAAGTAGACGTTATTATGCAATTTATCATTATAATATCACCATATATCACATCATAATCGCTGCTGATTATACAAAGCAACAAAAGGTACCACACTTAAATAACCGCAGGGCTGTCATCTGCGTTCTCCTCCACGATGAGTGCGTTTGATCAAATCCAGCAAAGAGACGGATTTCTCTCAGTTATGCAACGCCGCCTATTTCGAAGATTAATATGCAAAACCAGCGGTCAATGCAAATTTGGTACAAAAACAAACGCTCCATCTTGCCTTCTGTCACAGTGCGTCCAACAACAACACTGTGTGTCTCTCTAATGGCTCCCATCAGGAGAGGACATTCATAAATAATCATCTCCTCTGCTGTGTTTACCACACCTGCATCTCCTTGGTGACAATATTAATAACTGTCATCGCATCTGATGGCCCTGATTTATGAGCGCAGACCTCGGTGTTGTCCTGGGCGCGACGTGACCCAACACCAACTCCAAAAAACTTCTGCAGAAATAGAGAGGAGTGATATTTCATTTTGTTCCCCTTAATCTCCTGTTGCAACGCGAGATGGCAAAGTGATGACAGATAGATGCTCAGTGAAACCATAAATCATCTCCTCCTTTGGCTCCTACGCGTCTTTGTGCCCAGAAAGGGCCTCTTTCAACTCATCTTAAACTCCTACTACTTTAAATGCACTTAACCTAAGCTGTCTAAGGGCACTGCATTAGAAGGGGCTCTCGGACATAGGAAATGCATGACATCATGGCCAGTGCATGCCCCAGATTGACTGTCTGTTTGGGTAGTTTGACCTACAAACACAGCCCTGGTTAGCGTGGGTCATTTGTCGTGACCTTTATGTGTGTGAAGTTTTCCCACATGGATTCATACTCAGAGTTTAGACAGTTAAACATAATTATTTCTGGCAATAAATAACAGCATGGCAGCATACAGGATGTAACTGAGCATCTCTATTTAGTCTGTGCATTGTGTTTATTATCCTCACATCCTCCCAACACAGTAAGCACTTGTGTTTATCAGTAACACTTAAGTTTTTATTACATTTTTTAAAAAAGCAAGTGTGTTGACCATCCGTTTTTATGGGCTCCAGGTCTCGCCTAAACTTCGAGCTATTACTATAATGAGATTGCCATCTAGTGTTTGTGAATTTAGAACTGCAGCCTTGGATGCAGCTTTTAATGGGAACTGTATGGAATAGCTTTGGGGTACCTATAATAACTGCTAAGGCATGCATATGTTCTCCTGCACGCTGCTGTGCAGTCACATTTAAAGCCTTATGTAAGGTAATGTCTTAAAACATCAACATGTGTTAACACGGTCAGGAGGCGAAGGGAGAAAAAGTACAGGACATTCTGGTCGTATGCGGTTAAAAATGTGTTCAGATATATTCACAGGAACTTCACTCTATCCGTGAAGGTGGACGTTCTACTTGTTTACATGTAATTAATGATGTTGTATAACACAAAGAAAGCAGCTTGATTGATTTTTTTTAATAATCATTGTGTTTTAAAGTAGAGACGAAGGCCATGACAGGTATCTCTTCTTACACACAATCATCCTTTGTTACATTCAACACAAGTCAAAAATCCAAATGTCGCATGTGTGAAGGATGTATTTGATTTTTGCATCTAATATTCTCCTTTCGCATGTCTGCTTTTGCTTATAAACAAAAGGTTTTATTGTCCCTTGAGGGAAATTGCTTTGCCAATGAGCCTTTTAAAACATCTAACACATAAAAACCAGACGCGCATTTCCAGTAAAATACAAAAGATCATGACAGCCTTTTTTTTTTTAAGTTTTTTTTTCTTAGGTGGTGGATGATGTGCCAAGAGGTCAAATGTCAGACTCAGCTGCAATCCAAACCTCCTGGTGACACGTCCAATATTGGTATTTCACTTGGTTTTCTTTCTTGAAGATTTGCGGGATTCCAAAAAAAAAAAGTGAGCGATTAATATTGTCTAACATTTTTCCATTTACAGCAGAAACCAGATTTAGAAGGAGCTTCGTGCTACTCATCATTGTCAGCGTCGGCTTCAAAGCAAAACGCTGTCAGTGAAAGATTATTGATTGGTAGGACAAAAATGATCTGGTGAACATGTTGTCAAAGGTTTGCGTCGTACCAAATGAAATATGACCCAGAACTGAGCACAGTAGGCCGACATCTTATAATAACACTCGTATTTCATGATAACGTCAGCGATGTCAAACCTGATTACTCTCTGGAGACGACTAACATGCGTGTGTTTGCTCTGCATACTTGTGTAGGTCAGCCTGCATTCCTCTGGCTCACAGCGAGAAACATTTCAAACTCAAATGTCGGCCATTTGCTGAAACAGCCTTTTTTTTTGTAAGCCTTTATACATCTTCAGGCGGCTGAACATGTCTGCGTTTTCTGCCAAACTTTTGACAACAGGACACATGTGGATCTGAAAAATAAATCTTCTCCAATGTTCTCCTGCCAACTATACATCAGTTCTTTATACCATGTTTCATTCCTGTCAGCGCAAGGGATCAAATGGAGATTGGCAGCCGTAAAGACGTAAGTAGAAATGCATATTTAATGGTTTTATAATGTACCAAACCATAAAAACGGGTTTCTTACATAAATGAACTTTTAACAGGTACAAAGTTTCCAAGGACAGTCATTTCAGATTCAAAAATAATACAAAACTAAACACATGTAAACAGTAGAGGGCGCCACTGTGCACTGAGCAAGTGTCACGCCATCAGTCGCCCTAAATATTAAAATCATTTGTCAAGAAGTAACAGATTTTGTATAAAAGAAAAATGCATCCAGTGCACATTAAAGTGTATACAGGTGTACATACTACAGCTGCTTCTCTCAATATATGTGTCTTGTTTAAAATTCTATTCTACTCAGACTACAACAAGGAAAGAAGCAAGTGCTAGGAACAGGCAACTCAGGCTGTAGATGGCGCTACTGCTCGAGTAACTAGAGGGCTTTATGATGGTCATTGCTGGCTTGCAGTGATTGCAGTTCACGCCACAGAAGTAGCAGGAGCCCACGTTGTGAAGGAAACGGAGGTTGTATGTAGTTGTTGCTTTTCTGCCTGAAAACAGAAAAAAAAAAATCAAGAGATCACTGGTGTGTTGCATTCTGGGTATTTCAGATGCAGCAGACTTTAGCAGCTGCAGCTAAAACAGCAAACTGTTATTTCAGAGTTGGGATTATGATTTTACATTAAAGTATACGGTGCTGTGAAGTTACAGCCACTTTGTTTGTGGTCGTACTCACTGGGTTCATAGTAGTCGTAAACCCGCAGCACGGCGTCCTGCATGTGGGCCACCTTGTAGTTTGTGACGAGAGGAAGAATGATGCAAACCTTTGACTTGGTAATCTGCAAATGATACCAAAAAAAAGGGAGTGATGACAAACTACTGTCTGTACTTTGCATTACACAGTTAATCATCATTTTTTTTATGTAGTCTGAGCATGTACACTGTACAGCAAAGGACCCCTGTGTAATAACACCTAAATGTCAAATTATTCAAAATTGTATCAGCTCTCAATAATTACAATAAACTGTGAGTTGAATTGTAGAGTATTTCCTCTTATGAGCAATGAAAACAAATTGATTATACTGAAAATATAGACCTCAAAGTAGAAATTCAATGTAACGAAAGTGAGAATACAGAATACACATAGTTGTAAAATGACCTGTAGACACCAAGATAATATTTTTGTTCTGACAAGCCTCTGCAGATAATAATCCAACCGCTTAATCCTCACTAGGGTCGTGGGGGGCTGGAGTCTATCCCAGCTGACTCAGGGTGAAGGCAGGAGACACTTGGACAGGTCACCAGTCTATCACAGGGCTACACTTAGAGACAGACAACCAAGCACACTCACATTCACACCTACGGACGATTTAGAATCACCAATTAACCTCAACATGTTCTTGGACTGTGTGGGAGGAAGCCGGAGAACCCAGAGAGAACCCACACTGCATGGGGAGAACATGCAACCTCCACGCAGAAAGATCCTGGTGTCCTCACAGGGACGTGAACCGACAATAACTTTATTTATATAGTGCATTTAAGAGCAGTGTTCACAAGGTGCTTTGACAGTGAAAACATGCGATACAGGGACAATCAAGGAAGACTTAAGAATTAAATAAGGAGGACAAGGAGTCATCATGTCACTTAGTGTTTTGGTATATCGGCTGACAAGAAAGGCATCACGGCATCATCTATAAATGTCACATCCAAACACCTTTGGCACTCATGCAGCCTCACATCATTGCATCACCACTTTATCTGTCAGGACTACACAGTGAACGCGTAGTCCTGACAGTGAAGCACCAAGTTCACCGCACCAAACAAGCCTGAGCCTATCTTGACCATCATCCGACCAAAGAAGTTGCTCCAGAAATGTTTCCTTTCTTCTTGTTTATTTAGCAAAGCTTCAGCTTGCAGTTTTTCTGCTGAAATGCAAACAAGGTGTTTTTCCTCGGATGCCGTCCATAGAGGTTGATGTCATGCAACATCCTTCACGCTGCCTGAGCTGCTGCCAGAAACTCGATTTCCACCGAAGTCTCAATCACTTGCCTGTCGTTTTTTTTTTTTTTTTAGAGCTAGGTTGTGCAAGTAGTTCACTGTCTGTGGTAGAACAGAAAGTGATCATCTTTGTGAAGCCTCGGATGTTCGTCAGGCGTTTCTTTTCCACGTGGGTCCATTATGCAGACATGTAGGTAGACAAAGCCCATAGGTCCAAAAAGAGAGAAAGTTCTGGTGTTTACGGGTCATTTTACAACCCTGTTCATGCAATTAGGCTTTTTGGAAATCACAACTGTACTCACTTCAGTTTCAATAAACAGGTTTTCTAACTTCTCATTTTCTAACTTTTCTAACTGACTGTGTTGGGTCACTGGTTTGGATTGTGGATTTTATGTCGTTAAGCCACTTATACACATATATATTATTGTACACAGACATTAAGATAATTATTCCTGACAGCTCCTTGGCAGAAATGGAAAGGGGAGCTGTAGAAGTACACATCTGTTTGTGGATTCTACCCTGTGGATGCTCCAAACATCTGTATACAAATAACTCGATGTTAGAGAAACTGGTTGCTTACTTTTTCTTCTAGCAGTCATTATGAGCATCAAGTCCTTCGTTTAGTGGCGGTAAAGAGGAGGGATGTAATGACCCAAGAAGAGGTCATAAAATCACACACATATTACACATAGTGGCTTTTGATGGCTGATTGTTTTAGAACGTTTTACAATCTCAAGCACTCACTGAGTCCAGGTACAGGCTGACTTTCTCAGGTGACACCTCCACCTTCCTGATAAGATCTCCGGGGACAGCAGCTCCAGGTGAGAGAGTGAACCCACTGAGCATGCCCACATCCAGTATAGCCATGCCTGTTTGAGGTATCGCCTGATTGTCCTTTAATCTAGAGAGGATAAAAGCAAGGGATCGTGTGATTTTATACAGTATTTGGCACGCAGGGCAACAGAACTCTAAAAAATGAATGTTTAAATTGATATTACATGTCTGTCTATGCTGCAGCACTCACCTCATGCAGATAGACAACATGATGTGATTGTGGTCACCGTCGTCCACGACCTCGACGTCTAACGAGAACGCTTCCTCGTCTCTGGTTTGCTTTAGGTGCTGTGAAAACGCTTCGGTCTCCAGGTGATAAAAGACGTTCAGCTGCACGGATTAAACATGTATAAAGTTAACACGTCATAATAACCAACTAAAACCTACAGTTTCTGCTTGTTTCTGTGTAAAAGTATCAAATTAAATTACACAAAGTTACCACGGGTTGTAATATTGAGCACGGTGAACAGATTAACCTTTCGCCGTCGTCCTCCTCTGACTGATGCTATCTGGATGCACTAAGCGCAGAGAGCCGCAGTCTGCGTTCCAGATGTTAACTGCTGGGAGTCCATTATCATGCCACATTTGCATTTAGCTGTTTTGATTTTGCATCTATAATGCGGGATGCTGTGCCGAGTGAACCCATCATGCACAGCTGCTGAAATCAATTTATTCTGCTCATGCTCCGGCGGTTAGGCCGTCTGTTGAGCCGAACGTGATGGAGGTATGGAAACATTTTCACTGTTTAAGGGGTACCTGTAATCGCATCTGCAACCGTTCGATTAATTAAATGTGAGCGAATTAAGGCCAGACAGACACAAAAACAGCTCCATCGTACCTGAAATAAGGCAAACCCCCGTCCTTCCATGTATATATTTAGACGTGGATCTTTTTCAGCGTTAATCTAAGAGAAATAGGAGATTTTAAAAACACAAGTTCAGTTACAATCTCTATTAACCAACGAATATATGAGTTTATATACGGACCTCTTGGCTTTGATACGATAGATAGTTGGTGGAGTTGATTCGAAACAGTGACGAAGATGTTGGAGTAGATATGTTAAACCTCAGGTTAATGGTGTTGGCACCACTGAACGTAGCGTAGCGAGCCAGCGCCTGGATGGCAACGACGGTGTCCTGAGGAAGACAACATGCAAAGCTGTGTAACATGGCCACATACTGTATGTATAATTTGGTTTAAAGTGGGCATCAGTTTTTCATTAGGGTACCATGGCTGGCTGGAGTTAAGATATTTTCATTCTCACTATTGTTTTTGTGTCCTCGGGACTGAAGCAAACTGGTATTATTTTACTTACATTTGCATAGTTAGGAATGACTTTCTAAAGTAAGAGAATAAACAGGATTCGTCTCACCTGCGTCGTCCCGTAGCCCCCGAGATGGTTTCTCTGTCTGCTTAACCACTTCATGAGCGCAATGCCCTCAATAAAACTGCCACGCCTAAACAGAGCCAGCATCACATAAGAGGCCATCTCGATCTGCACTGATCCGGGCCGCAGGTCGTGCGACCTCAGGCCAGTAGAGGATCTCCACATCTTGACTCCGTCTTAAGAAAATAAAATGACAGATTTTATAATTAATGTAATCATTTAATATGCGTGTGCACGTAATGCTGTCTCAGACGGCTCAGCGTCAGGGATCGAACACAAGGTGATGAAATGTTTTCATTTGTGTTGCTGATGTTCTTCACAAGGATGTTGATCTTAGCAAAAAAATAAAGTTCCTTCATAAGAACTCCTGGTCAAGTGGTTTCCTGCAAACTGGCTGATAATCTAAGATTCACTTCAGCATGTTTGTTCTTTTCGGTTTGCAGCTACAGCAGCACATTTTACATTCAAGCATCCTCTTCAATATTCATTGGTAGAAAACGTTTAATCATTTAGCCACCAAAAATGGGACACTTAGCAACTGAGATGAGGCAGGCACTTTATAAAAAAGAACTGTGACTTGCAAAAGCACAGCTTAAAGCTGGGATACGCAGTATTTTTGGCATCGCTGGACAAAAATTCCAGAATAACCTTTCAGAATATTGTAATTCAAGTCACCTGAGATTAAATTAGACCTCTGCACCTCCTCTTGGATATTTTCAGACTCTTAAAAGTCCAGTCTGTGATGGGCGGCTTTAACCAATCACAGGGCTGTTCACCCAGAGCCAGTGAGAAAGTATAAAGAGCAACATAAGTCCAGTTTTTATTATGTATTTTTATGACAATTTGAAAGTACTGCATTAGAGAAATCTTAATGGAAATGGCAAACTTTAAAAACACAAACTTCCCCAATCTGTTTTGCATTGAGATGTTGTTTTTTGTTTGTTTGTTTGTTTTTTTTACTTTTTTGAAAAAACAGTAAAGTGGTATTAGATGGAAACACTTTTTTGAATTATGTCTGATGTAGGCAGCATTTAACTCTCATGACTGATCAGCTGTTTCTACGTTTTTTTGTTGTCTTCGCATGATGATGGCATCATAACTTGATCTGGTTCCAGAAGAACACGTTATCTGAAAACATGGTCAATAGCACCGGACGTGAAAGAATAATTAGAACTTCTACTCATTTTTCTCTCGTAGATGTTTGTTTTTCTTCAAGGCTTTTTAGCAGTTAGAAAACAGCTGGTTTGGTTTCAGTCTTCTTCTACTCTGTCTATTACAGCCATGTGTAGCCTGTACTGCCACCTTCTGATGACAACACACAGTCAGGTTTATTTTCTCCAAAGCAATTAATGGAAACAAGGCTAATTTCCATTTTCATTTTATTGATTTTTTTGGGGGACATTTTTTGCTTGACAAATATATGAAAACACACTCCAGTTTATGGTGGAATAATGATGATGTTCCCTCAGGAGAGCAGGGTGTGAAACCCAGAGTCAATGTTTTCTTTAACTTGACTGTTTAAAACACGCGCTTATGCTCATCTAAATGGGCTTAAAACCAATGAGGGGAGAGGAAAAAACTGGCAAAGGACGGTTCTATTTTTACATTTGGGCTTCTTTTTTTTTCTTTTTAAACCGACCAACCCCAGGATATCAAATGTCACATAAAGGTGGCACTTAATAATAATCTATTTCTTATAACTATAAAAACATAGGAAAAAAATCTAATCAGACTTACTCAGGATGTCATCATGCTTGCAAATGTAGAAGATGTTATGAATGTTTGTACGTGCTTATCTGATCAAAACAAAAGAGAAAAAAACCCAGTAGAAGTTACCTGCGTAGTCAGCTCTCCTGTTGAGCTCATTGAGGGCAGTGCCGGCTACCGGACTGCCGGTCAGAGCTAAAGCATAGGCCGCCAGGCTTAGGCTGTAGTTACCCACAGCGCCACTGGACACCTGGTTCCTCAGGTAGCTCTCAGCCAGAGACACATTGTCTGTGTACAAGATCTTCACACAGAGAAACCAGACAAAAGATCACTACAGTCAACTGACTATATAACCAGCACACTGTACACTTTATGTGACGGCACTTCAATTTCATGTTCCGAAGAGCTGAAGTTTATTTTTCCTGGTTACATAACTGGTTTTTAGGTCTGCTGTAAAATGTCATCGGCCGTCTCTCTTGAATATTCTCTTGACTTACCGCATCAGTCACGCCCTCCAGAACTGCTGCCAGTACGTAAGCAGTGAGCGCCACCGGGCCACCGTCCAGCCCGCCCTGCATCGCTGTGTGGATCAACCTGCCCGCCTCCCTGAACTCCCCCTGGGGCCCCTGTTGCTTGAAGAGCCAAGTTATGGCCCTGGACAGGACGCTCTGGTCTACCTGTATGTAGGGCTGAGCCTGGAGGAAGGAGCGCAGCACGAAGGCTGTCAGCCTGGAAGGAGTGGAGAGAGGGAGTTTAAACTTTAATTTATGTTACAGATTTAAGAAAACATATAAAAAAGAAGCATAAAGTAGATGGCAAACTTGTGGATCTATACCTGCACAAGCCATAAAATCCCCCCCAAAAGAGCCTATAATAATAATAAGTCCTCTCAAATAAAATAAATATTAAAATCATAAATGCATAAAGCCTACCATGTGCTGCCAGCAGTGTCGTTGGATCCAAAAGCGCTGAAGGAACCGTCGTCTCGTTGGTAGCTCAGCTGTCTTTTATATCCTTACAGAAAATACACATAACAGCACTCAGGATATTTATTTCACTGTTTAAAGTCCATCGAAGTGAATGATGTAAGAGCAGCTTACCGTCCATCATGTAGCGCAGAGTCCTGCTCCTGATCTCCGCGTTGTCTTGGGGTGTCCTGTCCAGGTACTGGAGAACATAAACACTTGGAGCAAAGCGGATCATGTTCTGCTCTCCGCATCCAAGAGGCATCTGAACCAGGGAATCCAAGTTGTTGATGGACAAAGCCAAGATATCACCTGAGTAAAGGAATACATGAGGGCAGCAGGTGACAACATGTTCACTAATAGGTGATCAGACTTATATCTCTGCTGTCTCTGTTTCTCTACTGTCATAAACACTAAGCAAATGCACTCAATAAAACCTTTTAAACGTCTGCTACCTCCAACAGAACCCGAAGTACGGAAACTTCTGACCCGCATAAAAACGAAAAAAATAATATTTTCGAAATGGCTACTTGGAAAGTCAGGTGGTCAGTCAGTGGTTTCAATTACAAGTTATGGAAGAATGGAAAAGAACCGATCAATCATCATCACACCGAGCAGAAGGCCACAGCCCCGCAGACACAAAACCTTTGTCCTGCACATTTGCTTAATGTTTATTAAAGCCGACTATCACAACAAGCACAGAAACCGCAATTTTGGCTCCAATTAGGGAAAATCCTGAAGCTTGCCTCTCTAGCATGACAAATTCCCAACATCCCTCAAACCTGAATGGAGCCAAGCCAAACAGCCCGACAGCTGTTCAGAATCTGTGCGCCATAAACATTCCCGTTTGATGTCCGTCCTTTCCATTTTTTAACCGTCCAGCACCCTTAAATGTTTCATGTGCATACACCCGAGCTCATTATCCAAACACAAAAGGAAAATGTGAGCACATATTATGCATGCCTAATTGACTTAAAAATAAACATAAACTCCACTCAGATGGAACTTCAACTGGCAACAACAGAGAGGACAAATGGGTAGACGTACCAACCAACACCGCGTAGGCCCTCTGGCTGCCCGGCACCACATCTGCTGGATAGGAGAAGGAGACGGATCTGGAACTGTTGTACTTGTCTGGTTCGAGCTCCAGGAACAGAGTCTGCGAGAAGGACTGTTCGACTCCTTCGGGCTTCGGGAACATGGAAGTAATTCACTGTTATAACGGGATCGACTGTGTGCCACGTAGCCAGTTGTATCTGACACTTGCATCTTTAAGTGTAGCCGCACATTTCAATTTCCTCACAAGCACGCTAAATTGGACTGCATGTGTATTTCTTGTCAACTTTTCTGTTTACCTTCACTGTCACTCTCCGAGCAAGGCCGTCTGAGCCCTCTGCAGATACGGCGTCCACCGATATTTCCATCTCGCCCACAGCCAGCGGCCTTATAGGGAATAGGGCTGAAGCAGACACATGACTCCTTAAGGTGAGTTTTTGTGCATTTATAACAGACGCTTGCCTGCGGTCTGTCAAAACAAACTCAAAGGCCTCGCTCTGCGCTAGCAGCACAATGACCTGCGAAGGGAAACATATGGGAACAATGCACAATCCTTTAAAACAAAAGAATGTAGCGTATTCTTGTTTTATAAATGACAGTGACAGATGTTTGTTATTGGAAGACACTAATAAATCATCTGTTGGAGAGTCTCCTGGATCTGAATCTGAAGAGGGAATGGAGGGTGATGCTTCAGGTCAGAATGGAAGTGAATACACCCCAGTGTAATATAACTTAAATGTCAAATCATTTAACACACCTCACAATAGTCGTGTTATTTCTAAGTAGACAAGTAGAGTGTTTGCTCAAATGGATGACCAGACAGCAGTACTTTTGAACGACTACATTAAAAATACAAGCCTTAAAGTAAAAACAATTAGCACGCCTAATTCCTGATTAGTCTAATTGTATAAAAATAGTTATATAATGACTTACAAATGACAGAATTTTCTCTGTTTTGGACCTTTGCACTGTGTCTCTCTACATGTCTGCATCATGGCTCCACATGCAAAAGGCAGAAACACGTCAAAATCTAACTGTGCAGCCTCACAAAGATGAAAAAGGACACAGGAAGACCAACTGCAATGTAGTCAAAACACAGGTACAGCAGTAATTAGGAGCCATACCACCTCTAACCAAAGCCACATTCCCTAAAACGAGGCAACACACAGTGCGCAGTTTGTATGATCTGTCTCTGAAAAACAGGCAGAGAAGCGCTTCAGAGTGAGCACTCGGGTTATCAAGGGAAATCTGAGATTCTGGCAACAGCTCCGACAGTGTGAAGGATACTGCATTACATCAACCTTAGCATCCAAGGAAACAGCCTTGCTCGCTTCTTGGCACAAAACTGCAAGATGAAACTTTGCTAAAAGACATAAAAAGAACAGTGATTGGGAGCACACTGTTTGGTCAGATGATAACTTTGTTTGGCTCAAATGGGGTCCAGCGTGTTTAGTGTGAACCTGGTCACACTTCCACACTGAATGCAAAGTCCTGATAGTGATGCACAGAAGAAATAGGACTGATGTGGGGCTGCAGGGGTGCAAAAGGTGTTGGGAGACGACTTTTATAAAAGGCACCATGATATTGGCTGACAAGATGGATCCTATTCTGCAGAAGCTCAAAAGTACAGGAACACTATGATGAAAGCAGACTTCAAAAATCACAAAAACAGATTCTAAAGGAAAAAAAAAGGAAAACTATGTCCAGTTAGAGCATCAGTGAATCTGAGTTCCTTTTGAAACGCCTGTATTATTTGAATAGAATTAATATTAACTGCTACTGTCTGAATTTAGGACAAGCACAAACACCCTACTGTTCAACTTAGAAGTAATGCAGTCAATATAAGGTGATACAAGGTTGAATAATTTGACATTTAACCTCTTAAGCTCTTGTTTGATATGCATTTTTTAAATAAAAAAAATATAAAGAAAATAAAAAAATATATTTTTAAAAATATATATACAAATATTTTAAAAATACATAGAAATAAATTAATAAATACAAATCATGAAAGAAAAATAATAAAATATTTAAAATTAAAATAAAATAAAAAATATATAAAGAAAAAGAAAATATACATTTTAAAAATAGATATAAAAATATTTTTTAAATATCTAAAAATAAATTAATAAATAAAAATTCTGAAATAAAAATAACAAAATATTTAAAAATAAAATAAAATGAAGTAAAAATAATTAACTACTGTGGTAACATAACCCAAAATGTGATGTCCATGCATGTGGACACCAGCTCTTAATGGGTTAAGTAATATTACACAAGGGTACATTCACCTCGGTTGTACACTGTAGTTTACCAGTAACACTCCCACCTTATAAAACATTGCACACATTTTGTCCTACATACTTCTATGTCCTGCCCCAAATGGTTGATGACGTTCACTTCCAGCACGATCTCCTCTCCTCTGATCAGGTGTGGAGGGACAGCCATAGACAAGGAGAAATCCTTGGATACGATCAGCTGTCAGGGAGAGGACAACATTCAGAGAAAACAGCCTCTCACAGTGTCTATTTTAAAGAAGCACACTTGTCTGTAACTTGGATTTTGAGGAACACTGCTGTCGTGTTTCGTTACCTTCTGGGGAACAGGAGTGAAGCCCAAACCCAGGTTCTCCGACATCACCAGCGCAAATGCTTTCAAAGAGGTGACACCGTCAGGTACTGTTATTTCCCCACTTGTCCATGTTTTCTCGCTGGGAGAAATGGGAAGAAAAAAAAAGCAGGTTTTGCCAGAAATATATGAGCTGACTCGTATCATCTGAATCTCCCAGCTCTCACCTTACAGTCGTGTCTAACCACAGGAAGGATTCATTGACATTCAACAGGTGTCTCCAGTACTTCTGTATCATCAGGACATGTCCTTCTGAAAACCATTCCCAAAAGAGAGAGAGAGACTGTTGATCTGAAGAACGAAGTTGTGTTGAAATCAAGCCAATATGCTAAACGGCCACAAGAGGGACTCCACTTTTACCATTTTTAGCTCCATCAGGCTGCTTCTTCTTATACAGCCTTGCATTGGTCAGCATCCTAAGATTACAGTCCTGTGGTGTGAAAGGAACAAAAAAAAAAAAAAGCTGATAACAATGGTAAATCTGTGTTAAATCTGTTTTTGTTGCAGGGCTTTTAGAGAGGCCCGCTATCAGATCATGTTTTATTAGCGTGGCCGCCCATGAAAACGCAGGTCAGGTCGATGGCAGGTGATGTCAAGTGTAAAAAAGTCTCTGTGGTTGCCAGAGGGGGATCTTAGATTTTAAATAATCTAGTCTACCACCAACAATACAAGACGCCAGAGTTTAGGAGATGAGAAAAAGGTGGTGAAGCTTTGTTTCCTCCATCTTACAGCCATAAACAACCCCCAGGTCCTGCGTTCCGACACACTAGAGTTACCAGCGCTTAGAAACAGGAGTCACCTCTTAACAAAGCAGACGTATAAGTTACATCCAGATGAGCCAGTTCAGTGGTCACGATCTGAATGCCCGAACGGTATCAGTCGGAAAAAGCGTGCCAAGGGATGTTGCACAACAGGTTGAGACGACTGGGAAGAGTTCTTTGGAATTAAACTGGAATGGACAAAGGGGGTAAATGAGGCAAATCTGACAGCGTCCAAACAGGTGAATATTTGATAAAGGTTAAGAGACGTTTACATTTCAGATATTAAATCTTGCCCCTTTTGTCTCTGGACGATATTTATCAAATCCTCAGAGAGTAGAAGTCGCTCCTGGGCTCAGATCAGGTGATTCTAAATCCCATTTACAACACTTAAGGAAGACGACTTGACCTTTTAGGCTTTTGTTATCAAAAAAAAAGTTGTCACACCTGTTCCACTTTGACGTCCAGGTCGGACTCCAGAGCGTCGTCGTGCGTCCCCAGTACCACGACTCCCACCTGGGACCTGGATTCAAGGGTGGCCACGGTGAGCGATACCTTCTCACCCGGCTGGGCCCCGTAAACGCTCCAGGTTAGAGACACCTGAGGAGAGCACAGACACGGATTATCGCTTTACATGCTGGGAGGATTGCTGTACTTACGGGAATGGAACAGTTTTTAATTTCGTTGTACTCTGTGTATGATGACAATAAAAATCATTCTATTCTATTCTGTAGTTAAATACACAGAGTAGAAACAGTAACCGTCGTACGTGGTTGTGTTGACTGATGGGTATGCGTGCTGTGTCAGCGGCAACCTCTCCGTCCGACAGGATGCAGTAGACGGTGACGCAGGCCTCAGGGGACCAGGACAGCGCTGGTGTCAGAGAGAACGAGAGGGACTTTGTCGTTCCGGCAGACACCACCTGACCTTGAGAGCTCACCTGGACGTGCAAGAGCAGAAAAAGAAGCAGTCATTATTTGCATTTAGCTACTAACGACACTGGATGTTTTAATTAAGCACAATGAAGTCCATAACTGCCCGTATTGATCTCTGCCCCCTGATTCTCTGCAGCACACTTAAGCAAATATATATAATGGCATCTAATGAGAACAGATCCAACTCCAGACAGTGGAAAATGTTTCTTATTCGCCATAACTACGCCTCCTTCAGCTGCATATTGATGAATGTACAGTTAAAATATTGCAAAAGATGCTAATTCTCCACACATTAAAGTAAAATGGGAATCTGAAAGGGGGGTTAGCATTTAATATAGTAACGCACATTCAAAGATATTAATCAAGCTGAGTTTACCTTTCACAGTTTGGTCATTGTCACATTTTCTGATCATGCTAAAAGATTTTGATATTTCAGCAAATATTTACTGTAGGTTTAACTGTGTGGCACATTTACGACTCCTAAAAGAAGACAAATTCTAATGATTGCTCCAAAAAAACGGCAATAACTAATACTGTAATCCCAGCATATGTGATGGAAAATTTTAAATGAAGAATAAGAGGGGAAGCTTGCCCATAAACAGCACATTTAAAGTCAATATCAACATGAAGACACTCAAAATGAATTGATCCTCTTGGTTTCCATGTACTTCAAATGTTTGCGTCCTCATTTCAGTTTGTAAATTCAACTCAACTTTATTTAAAAAGCACTTTAACACAACAAAAGTCGAAAGAAAGTGCTGAACATTAAATGTACAACAATATAAAACATATAAAATACAATAAAATTATAATAAAATCACTAAAAAGGACAATAAGAACAGTAAAAACAATAAAGTCTCATGCCGGGTCGAATGCCAGGGAATTGTTATGTTGTGTTTATGGCTTTATCATGATGTAGTCAAATTTCATTTTCAAACGACCTGAAAAATTTCTCAGAACTCTTTCTATTTGCACAAACTATAAGCCACTCTCTCAGTGCAACATGTCAGCAGTTCAGAAACTAAAATATGAAAGTTAAGATGCACATGAATTGGACGCAGCAATGATGCTCCTGCGAGCCACATCAGGACTTCTAATTCACAACGAATATAAATGGATTCACACTGGAAAATAGTTTTGTTCATTTGTTTATAAACCAACTGTTCAGTCATGTCCCTGGGCCGATATTCAAGTAATTTCAAAATAGATCATTTCAAAAGTGGGACCAGTTATGGAACTTAACATTCATTCATTTTATCTGATTATAGTTTGTTTATTCTGATACCTAGCCTGCTGTCATCTTCCAAAGTTGCCAATCAAGCTGAGTATCCACTGCACCCTCCGTATTTTAGGGTTTGACCAAACTCACCACAAAGTGAAGCTCCGCTGGTTGAAGGGTGGCCTCCACACTCAGCACAAAAGGCGATCCAATCTGAAAACGCGATTGAAATGATGCTTTGCTCACTAAATTAACCACCTAATCGTAGCACGTTTGCTGTATGCTTCCTTTATTTAATGATACGAAACAGATGTTTTGAGTTACCTGTGCAGGTAAGGTGTCGACTGGCAAGATCTGAACATATGATCCACTGGGAGAGGAGTGGTTGGTGTAAACCTTCAGAGTCTCCTCACTGGACTGGAATCTGGCCTGAATATAGACGAAAAGCAAATATGAACCGATGGACTGAAATATCATAAAAGATGCCCTTAATCTTTGTGTGGGTGTTTATCCTTTAAAATCCAAAGATGTTCTCTTACGCTTACAGAACAGGTATCCAGCCAGTTAAACGTCCTGCGGTTGTTTTTTTTATAAATAACTAATGTGTGGAATCTTTCTTTACCGAAACTACTCCCATTACATGCAGCCAGTAATGCTTTCAAAGTCCTGCGAATCCAAATATTTACCCGAATAAAAAGCATCACGACTTCATCCTGCAATCTAAACTGAATGTGGACGTTTCCATCCTCGGGCACAGGAAGAGTCAGAGTTGTAGTTTCCCCGTTCATCATAGCGGTTCTCTGAGTGACCTCAACCACGGCAGAATGTATCCGGTCGGACGTGCTGAGCGGCATTTGGTCATATCTTGAGATACTAAGCTGTGGAAAACAGACAGAGAAGGTTCTCATCTGAGGGAAATCAAAGTTTACTCGAAGAAAAGAGGAATACTTTTAATCCACTCACGTTTGTAAAGAAGTGTAAACCGGGCTTTAGTGAGGGTGGAAAATGGTGGAACATAAGTTGGAATGTGTTCTTCATCAAGTGGACTTTAACCGTTTTGTTCACTTTAAATCCTTAAGTGAGAACAAAGCGTGTTATTTTGTGGTTTGACATTGAAATGTATTTTACATAAACCAACTAGGAGTACATCATACCTGTGACGCTGTCGTTAACACAGGCAGCAACGTGAACAGTGACGTGGTCGCTGCTGCTGAACGCTGATGAAGTGTGTAGAGCCTGAAGCTGATCTTTGCTGAAGAAGAACTGTGCTGATCCATAGATCTGCAAGATGAGGTTATATAACTGCTGAACGTCTCCTCGGAGAGTCAATTCTTGCTTCTGTTTATGTCGAACAATGAGTGGATGAGCTCAGGGGACAATAAAATCTCACCTCTGTCGTTTGCGTAAGCAGGAACGGAGAAGACGTGTTTTTTACAGCATCATACATAATAACTGAAACAGCTAATGTTCCATGTAGAGGCTGTCCACTGGGGTAACTAGAGAGGAAACAGGGTATCATCATACACTAGTGTAGGATATATGTGTGTGGTATTGTTGATCTGAATGACAGAACAGAACTCACAGCGCTCTCACTGATCCTGTGATATCATCTCCAGCGAGGATCTGTGAAGGCATCTTGACCAGCACTTCAAAGCGAGGACGCTCTGTAACAGCAGCCAGAAAGATCACAGGAAGATACACAACATGTGTATTTTTTTTAAATCACAATTTAATCTTAAGTTGAATGTGATATTTTATCATTTGAACACACAGAGCTGTGCTGAGGTTGATGGGAATGTCGTTAGTTTTGCAGAATTTTTCATCAGAAACCGACAAAAGTGGACAAAACAGAATGTGGCTTAGAAGGGGATTACCAAAGATCCTGCAGTTCGTCCTCTGGTGACTAAGACTGAATAATTATACAGAGTCAGATGTGAAACAATGCAATTAGGCTGCAACTTAGAATACATGAGGTGTTGCTATTTAATATGACACTAATGCTGTATAACTCAATTTTCATTTCATCTGAGCTGATCTAAACTTTAAGGGGTTGTTTATGCCACCCATTGATATTGTGTGGTTCAGACACTGAATGTAACTGTTTAGTGACCACACCGTACATTTTGCAGTGTGTCTGAACAAGAGCTTAAACCGTTGTGTCAATGGTTTTACAAAGTCATGTCGTCTTCCTTGTGGGACAGTCACACTTCTGATAGTAAAGGTGGTAAAATACGGTAATGTTCCATCACAGGCTTTAAATCTGTTTTGAACTGAAGCTTGACTTTAAAAGAAAATTATATCATAAATCCATCCATCATCTATACACCGCTTAATCCTCACTAGGGTCATGGGGGGCTGGAGTCTATCCCAGCTGACTCAGGGTGAAGGCAGGGGACACCCTGGACAGGTCACCAGTCTATCACAGGGCTACACTTAGAGACAGACAACCAAGCACATTCACATTCACACCTACAGACAATTTAGAATCACCAATTGGAGAAAGCCGGAGAACCCGGAGAGAACCCACGCTACACGGGGAGAACATTCAAACTCCACGCAGAAAGATCCTGAGCGTCCTCACTGGGACACGAACCAGTGACCTTCTTGCTGCGAGGCAACAGTGCTAACCATCGAGCCACCTTTTAGCCCCCTTATATCATAAATCAAATTGCTAAATCTTTCAGAAAAATCTCAATTAGATATTTTGCCTAAATCGTTTACCCCTTCTGGGTTCACTTGGATGTTTACTAAATTTAGCTACAACTCCATCAAGTAAGACACTTCAATTAAAAAAAACCTAAATATGACAACTAGCGGTGGTAGTTATATAGTCAATGAATCACCAGTCGTTTGTTAACACAATGTCTGTCCAACATTTGGTGCCTTTTAATCAGATCTAGTTGTGTTTAGGATGTATTGTGTAGATATCTTGAATGTCTTGGTACAAAATTTAATGACAATCCATCCAGTGGTTGTCAAGATATTTTAAGCTGCCTTATGGTGGCAGTACAAACTTTAAACTAAGGGAACACCACAGTACGATTCATCTTCTGGGGACCATGAATGTTTGCGGGTAATCTCAAGCAAATCCAGCCAAAGTGGTGGACTGACCCACTGACAAAAAAACCACAGACCCCCAGTCGATAAATAATATTGCAATATCAACTACCAACCGTAAAGCTCCACAGTGAACTCTTTCTCATCAGTCACGCCCTGTAGAGAGGAAGGTAAAATGGAATTATGTTTTTCTGCTAAAAGCACCATGCTATATAAACACTAATACATTCTGTATTTCAAGCCTACATTCACTGTGGTTGTGATGGTCCATTGTCCAAGTGGAGGCGTCTGGGATAAAGTGAATTCCTGCAACACGATTCCCAGATTCCCTGTGGACTCCCACCTGTCAACAACATTCCCACTGGGATCCTGCATGTGACAAAGAAACATCAGTCAAACTTGTCACCACACGATGCATCACTAAAAAAAAATCTACTGGGCTCCTGTGGTTTTGTTCTTCCACACAGAAAGCAGAAACCTACCTGGACAGAGACGTCCACTCTGCCTTTGTATGGATGGTTATCCAGCTGGATGACGACAATTCTGACTTTGACGGTGTCCCCGGGTTCATAACGCGATCTGTCGGTTTGGATGAAGGTGGAGACATTCCTGAGGTCGAAGCTGAGGGTGGTGGTGTTGGTGAAAATGACAGCGTCCTCCTTGAAGCCCCTCACCGTCAAGTTGAGGAGGGAATTCTGAGTTATAGAGCCGGGAATCTGGAGCCATTATATAAGCGCCATCAGACACGTACACATGTGATTTCACACTTCATTTCTAAGAATTACCCTCATTACGGGAATTTTTGGACTGGGGACAGTAAAAGGAAAATACACTCACAGGAGGAAGAGTGAGGATACTGGTCAAACCTTGAAAACAGAACGATGTTTTAGCCCTTCAAAGTCAAAAAAAGTCATCAAACAAAACATGAATCTCTGTGAAACTGCAGTGTCACCTCCTTGAAAGTCCTCCGTTTGGGTGACTTTAGTGTCACCATGCGCCACCTCGGCTGTCACCCTGCCAGGGAAGTCATCAAAAACAGTGACGGCCAGCGGAGTCGGTGTGCCAGCGCGCAACACCTCTGGACCCGAGATCAGGAACAGTGTCGGACTGGCGCTGAGGGGAAAGACGGGGACGTTAAAGAAGCCACTCTATCAATTCGTACAGAAATGTAGTGTCAAACAATTGCTGGCTACCTACCTGGATAAATCCTGTGTCGAACCAGGAACAACAATACACACGAGCAAGGTGCAGATCACGTTCATGTTCTTCTGCTTTCCTTTCCTTTCAGACACCAGGCAGACAGCTTCATGCAACTAAACCGTCCTGGACATGTGACAATGTAAGGTGACAAAACTCCACCTTCCTGTACCCACTCCAACACCCCATGTGGGACTCACACACACATCAGGATGCATCATCACACATACATTCTTTGTCTCACACACACAATGAATGAAGTGGAGTACAGGGATGTTCACACACTCTTAACGCCTTTGCCCGGGGGGACCGAATCTCCTCCGTCTATTCAGCGCCTGACAATTCCCAGTCCCGTTCAAAGCCCAGAGTGAGACACACTGGTGCTATCATATCCACACCGAGAGGAAAATACCGTCTTGAATGTCAGGGAGCAGCGTGAGATACATGACATGAAGCCACCTGGGAGTTTAATTCTCGCCGTGTTATCTGAAAACACAGGCTGCTATTCAAATCTTTCATTCTACATTTTTGCTACACTATAGGACTCGCCTTTCTGAATCCATAATAGCGCAATTGAGCAACGTGATAAACAGGCTTGACATTTTAATTATCCAGCGTCAACACGGGATGACAGGCCAGCAGGCGGTGTTGCGTCTCGGGAGAAAATTACGAGAAAAAAAAACTCAGCTGTCCGAGAACATTCTGTGTCCAAAAACAGCAACAGCTATTGATCTTGGATGCTTTTGGAATTAAAAAAAAAAAAAAAAGGAATGTCCTCCAGTTGTTTGTTTTACACTGTGGCACAAAAATACAGGTTCCACAGGGAGTCTGTGGCACAAAAATAGCAGCATGGAGGATATGAAGTGACATTATGGGTGGAACACTGACCATGTCTAAACCACTAAGCAGTAATTAAAATTTTCACTTTGGAACATGGTGACACAGGCACAATGAAAGCCTGCACTGCCTCTTCTTCACCAGCAGGCGGGAGTAAAGTCGAGGCTAAACCGGCACTTCAAACCTGAGCTCCTCCCAAAAAGAAGAAATTCAAATACTTCACATGTTTCAAAGCCCATAAATATGTGTTCACTCTGTGGTCATGCTCACTCAACACTATTTATATCATTATTTATTAACTCTTTATTGCTTTGGCTTTTCACAATAGTTACATATAAACATATTTTACAACGTAAGGCATATCTGTCTGATTTTTTGGCAAGTACAACTTTGGAAGAAGAAAAAAAAAGAGTCAGTTATAAAACATGTCCTAACAATACCAGCTGTGCATCAGTAAGGATGCAGGTGTGAGGTGAGATGATGTTGAAACTGGATGTGAAAGCTTGTATAGGCTTGTTTTTTTAAAATCTTGCTCTATGTTACTCCACATCCCTGAGCACCTAAACAGCACCGGCACACTTCTAATAAGGCACTTTTTAGCCACAATGTCCTCGAATCTTCTGTGAGAAAACTTAACTGGATGAATCCTCAACTGGAGCCTTGCTACTGAATGTGAGCCCTTACAAGACGACAGCAGTTCTGCAACATCTGTACTGTACACTATTACATTCGTACACCAACAAAGTGCTGACAAAAGTGCATATTTACAGAGTGCTAAAACATCCAGGAAAACATGTCGAAGCCTTGCAAAGCATCACATATAAAAAGGCAAAATGTGTTGGCAGATATAAAGAAGAAACATGTGCAGCTTGAGGACTGCTTTCAGATTTCATGAAGGTAACATGATGTAATACAGTACTCTCTGCCAGTGAAGTACCAGTGTGGAGACATTTACAGCAACTCAACTTGTACGAGGGGCGATCAAAAAGTTCCAAGACTGTCCCCTGGTGTTCGTTTACGGAGCGCGTACGAGGAACATGTAAACTTAAATAGCGTTCTTCTACCTTGGTGAAGTGCTTCACAATCAGCTGTGTCTACTTTTGGACCACAAACTGGGGAAGAAATCATCACATTCTGCATCATTTAACACCCAGGATAACTTGATGTGGAGGATCATGAGTGGTGACTACAGGTGGAAGAAGAAGCTGCAGTTGAACAGGACAAGGCACATCAGGTCAGGGTTACACCAGGAGCACGCCAGGTGTTTTATTTAACATTCATATGGCTGTGTAGAGAGAATTAGTCCCACAGGGTCAGACTGCCAAGGTAGAGTTCTACTCTAACATCCTGAGGAGTCTGTAGGAGAACATTTGGCACAAATGATCTGAACTGCCTTCACTCGCCTCCCTTTCGCTTCTTCCTTAAAAATTACATTCAAGCTAAAGCGTCACCATTTCGACACACTTTAGGAGATTCTGTCGCAGTTGTTTACATCAAGTGACGTTCAGGAAGCATTGCAATCGTTGCAGAAGCACCAGGAGCTCTGTAACGCTGCACTAGCTTCAACTGCCAAATTCAAACCAAGTATGCTTTTTTTTTATCTTTAAAGGCAAAGTCTCAGAACTTTTTGATTACAACTCACGCTCACTAAAAAGGTAGCATTCAGGGAGTCATTGTTATGAACACTTGTGGTTTCCTTGAACGAGTCCTTAAACATCCACTGTGGGACCGTTTGTCAGTACCTCCAGCTGTCACATCTCAAAGTGTCGGTACATGCTCTCCACGTAGCTCAGGACCCTCTGCCAGTCCGGACCGCCAGCTCTCAGCATCTCCTCTACCGTCTGTCGAGCAAAGATTTCAACCAAATTTAAGAGCTTAACACAAACTACACCTACTAGGTGTGTGCTAGAGGGCAGTGAGCTGATTTGCTGTTCCAGTGTCTTACCAGAGATTGTGCAATCCCAACGGTTTCTCCTGTTTTGAACGCCAGACCGAGATTCTCCCGCTACAAAAAAAAAAAAGGAATCGATAAGCCAAACATAATAAATCACTTGGTCCCATCGATCACACGGGCGCCAGGCACAGTTCCTACCTTGCTCTCAGGACTGAGGGTGGTGTAAGGGATGTGTGAGGGGAGGTAGGTGTGGTAGACGGCACAGAAGGCGAGACCATCGGCCCAGCTGCTGCTGAAGTTGGTAATGTCAATATTCTACGTTAAGAGAAGAAAGACACACAGTGAGTTTCAGTGTCGTAGTGGAGAGCATCTGTGATTGCACCTGTCTGAGGTGAAGACAAGTCAAAAGTAGATCCTGATTGATCTTATTTATCAATTAACGAAGATGCTTTTGTTGTAAGTGCATGCAAGGTTGTAAATAAATTCAGAGGAAATTACTCTAAACAGCTGGAACTTCAGCTCCTGTTCATGTTTTTTGGAGGACAAAAAAATCCATTATTGTTGAGCATCATTAATCTTTAAGTTGTTAGCTTCTGTTTTCATCGCCTGTTATTCCAGACATTTCATTTTGTAACCTAATAGATTTGAAATTGTAGAGCAAAGTGAGTGAGAGCGGTATGTTTGGCACACCAAGAGCTCTTTGAAGCTTTTTTTTTTTTTTTTTTTGGATGAATGCTGATGCTGAAATGTGGAAAACGTCTTCTATAAATCACTTCACACAACTCAAAGTACAGTTGCTTGTGCGCGTCTATCCGTTAATGTGACGGCGCGGTTCAGATTTGGGTCGTAATGAAAGTGATACAAGGATGTTACGACACAATGAAACGCTCATCCAGACGTGGAGCCGACACGGTGAGACGCCATTATGGAACGAGGTCCGTGTCTGTAAAGGGTTTAACATTTATAGCTTGGTGTTTAAGACCAACCAAAACTCAGCTGCATGTCACCTACATCCACTGCTTCAGCTTTAAGAAAGATAACAGGGCCAGTGATGCAGCAGTGGTTGTGGGCCATATATATTTATTTATTCTCGTAGATTAATCGTAGCAGCTGGACTTGCTTGAGTTCCTTGAAGACTTTTCACCTCTCATCCAAGAGGCTTCATCAGTTCTGACTGACTAGTTGGGAGTTCCAGATACTTATATCCTTAAGGAGGGGTTCGTTAGGTTCTTTCGTGGCTAGGTGTGAACGTGGTTTCATCTTCCTGGGGAGAGTTTCAAAACCGAAACTCAGGTGTTCATGGCTCCTTACGGATATAAGAATCTGGAACTCACAACTAGTCAGTCAGAACTGATGAAGCCTCTTGGATGAGAGATAAAAAGTCTTCAAGGAAATCAAAGAAGTCCAGTTGCTACGACTAATCTACAAGAATAACCATGACCTGGATGACTGAGAATCTTCACAGCCATACATATTTTTATTTTATTGTTATTATATGTATTAGTTCAGTTGTGTGGAACCTTTGCTGGGGGGCTCTGGTACCCCTTGTTACGGCCCTGCTGGCCGCTTGGTCTAAGAAACCAGATGGGTGTCTGACATGTCACTTTTCCTCCGAGGTGATCAGCTGATCCAGCCTTCCACTCAACCTGATCGCGAGCACCTGGGCCCGATATATGGACTGCATTTAAAGCGTGGCTGATCAGCGTTTCTCTCTCTCTCTCTTCTCTCTGCTCTCCATCACGACAGCACCACACACTACACGCATTCACATTAACACCACTGATTATACTGACCAACACACCTCATCTTGGCATTGTTATATTTCTTTTTGCTTAAATAAATGTATGTTTTTGTTTAAGTTGCACTGCCTCTCTCAGATTTTGTCATTGCCTTGAGCCGGGTCATGACACCCTACGGACACCTTTAGCCCCCCACCACGTCCTGCAATTGATCTTTTTGCGCCTTACCTCTCCCCTTTTGTTCATGTGTTCTGTACTAAGCGAGACTGTGCTGTTGCAATGTGTTTTAATGTAATATAATTATACTTGTGGGCTCACTTCCTGGTCTAATATATTTATGTCTTGTTTGATTTCTGTGGGGGTTCACATTTTGCGAGTTGATGGAAGATTTTGTTTGTTTTTTTATCAGCTGTCAAAGTTTGTGTTCCGTCTTGTACTGTTCATCTACTGCAAATGCACTGAATGCTTCCTGCCTCACGCAGCGCCCTTTTGTTCATGTGGTCTGTATGAGAAGGGTACAGATTTTGTGGGTTGACAGAAGATTTTGTATGTTTTTTGGGTTTTTAAAATCGGCTGTCAAGGTCTGTAATAAACGGAGATCGCCTCCAAAAGAAAGTCCACGTCTCGGCTCTGAATACACACATATACTGTATATACTGTACACCGCATCAGGTCCAGGATCACCTTGTAGCCTTGGGTTCGGTTCTGACACCAGCGCAGCAGCGAGTTTCTCTTGGAGCCTCCATGGCGACGCAGCAGCAGGTTGAAACCGTCCTGGGACCTGGCGAGAAGAAACAAGCTGTCGTTCAGAGCTGAACTTGTACAGAGAGAGACGTAAAAATCTACGTAACACAACTGACTCTGTTGTAAAACCAAAAAAGAATTCACATTACTGATATCAGTACAAAAGGCTGAACGTTAGGATTTCAGCAGACAAATTTACTTGGCTCAAAACAAGCAATTAGATTTGCAGAGTATGTAGCAATTAGGTTGCTCTCAATGACACAGTAGTACGTCAGTGTGCGAGTGTGTGTGGACTCACTTGGTGGGTGGTAACTCAGTGAGGGCTGAGTTGTACTTGTTTAGAGACTCCTCGCGTTTTCCTGCAAAGACAAACAACAGCGCTGCATTACCGAACAGCAAGTTGTCATTATGAACAATCAGAGCAGTGGGGTTTAGTTACACTGTGCTGCACTTGAACATGGCAGAACGAACTTCTACATGTCTCAAGCATCGTTTATCTTTGACCACTTAGGGGTTGCAGCTCAAGCTGTAACACAGATTATATAAAGTGACAAAGCATGCAGCAAACAATTGTCCTTTTCCTCACACTCAGAGGAACATTAGAGTTCATTTGGAGCCAATATTTACTCTCGTTCGAACCCTGTGTTGGTCTCCAACTTGTGAGAAAAACAAGAGATAAGTAGAAGCTAGCTGTCTGTTTGGACAGAGCGAATGAGTTTATATGGTGAAAACAGCCATCTGCAGCTGCTGGAGACGACGTCATGAGGGTGGCGAGAGTAAACCAACAGTAAAGGGCTGTAAAAGCAAAGCAATAAATGGAAATAGGATCATATCGTGTTTAGGGTAGAATCACAATCCACTATCTGAATCACAGTTCTCTTGGAAAATTTAGCTAAATTCATGTGATCGGATCACAGTCTTGAATGTGGCAGTACATGACAGCGATACGCACTTCATCAATAAAATAAGAAAACACCTTGATAGAGCAGGGCTGTCCAATCCTGGTCCTCAAGGGCCACAGTCCTGCGTGTTTTAGATGTTTCCCTCTTCCAACACACCTGATTCAAATGATCAGCTCATCATCAAGCTCTGCAGAAGCCCGATAACAAATCAGGTGTGTTGGCAGAAGGAAACATCTAAAACATGCAGGACTGTGACCCTCGAGGACCAGGATTGGACACCCCAATGATAGAGTATTCGATAGCTTCATTTAAATGCATTTAATGCAAACCGCCACGAAAGCATGTAAAGTTAGGAACCATAATCTCGTAAGTATTTAATCTTGTGTGTAAATGTCTATACTTGTGTTCTTCATCATAGTGCTAACATTAAAAACATTACTTGTGTATCTTAATGAATAGGCTAAGCAGTACTTCAAGTTGAACCATTTTTCCGCTGGTTGTAGCAGGTTTTTCAGTTATATTGCCCAGCCCTAGTGGTGCATATTGCTGCCTGGATTGAAAATCGGTCACTTCAACTCAAAGCTATAAAGGACACAAATCTCTGTTTTAGCTCTGACTGTATTCTGAAAGTTTGCTGGTCTGCAACCTGCTGTTACTGTTAGTCTTGCATAGCCAGGCCTGATGCACCTCATCCTGCCATAGTGAGCAAAAAATGCTATCATGTTTGTTCTGTTCTGTTAATTATAACAGCCTTCATCAAGAGTTAAGCCCAGGATGCAGCAATGGTGCCCCTGCAAAACAGCAACTAGAGCTGTTTTGATGGAAACGTTAGATGCAGGGAGGCAAGCAGTTTACTGAGAGATGCCAACAGGCCTGTTTTATCCAAATTGTTAGCAAAACTTGAAATTTCCAGCATGACGTCTGTTGCGTAAAGGTTGTTGTGTTTCCTGTAACAAAGGGGATTTTGAGAAGAAAATACAGACAATGTGCCAAATTAAGATCGTCTGTATTTTATTATCGTCAAATCGGCCACCCTTAGGCAAACAAATGCTAAAATACTCGGTAGAGCCGAGCAGAACTGCAGAGTTTGGTGATAAATACTTGCGGGTATATTTATGATGTTCCCTTTTCACATTCCAAAAAGCAATTCATTGTGTAAGAACGCTAATTAGTGCAGCTTCAAAAATGCCTTAAAGTGTATTCTTGCTTAAGAAAAAGAAGCGTTGAATACATTTCAACACAAAAACAGAAATCAGTCCTGCATTGTTTTCCAACATCTTCACTTCCTGCAGACCTCTTCTTCAAAATGGGACCCACTTGCAGAAACATTGTAGTCAAAAACTCAGCAGGGTACCTTTATTCATTTTATAGTAAAAAAGTGAAAAGCACACCTGTATCATTGCTGGACTTTGTTTCTTGCCAATCCAGACTTCTTTGCCCTCTGAGTTGCGTCAAGTTCTTGAAAAGAAACAAGAATCATTCAAGTTCCCACACTGATGAAGCACCTAAGCATTTCTAAAGAATAATCTTTCTAAAGATTAACATCTCACCTTGTTTGTCGGCCCAATTGTTGCAGCAGTGTTGGACTGGAAGGTTCCGTTCTGCACAGTAGGTGAATCTGAGGACGCAGGTAATCTGGAAAGGTTTCTGGAGGAAACGAACAGACCCGATAAAGTGTTTTTAATGGCTTCTTTTTTTTTTTTTTTTCCTCCCTGGGACAGCTGTTTCACTCTGTTCCAGCTGCAAATCAAACTGTTCTAAGTGTCCTCAAGTGGCCCAGCAAAGCAACACATTCAAAAGAAACCAAAACCGCAGTCCTGACCAAATTTGGTAATTGTAATCCATTTCTGCATGTTATGCCAGAGAAAAGAAATGTGGAGGACTGAGAGGCTTTGTTTTGACAAATCTGTTTGAAAAGTGCCACTTATGCAAAACAAGGCTGTAGTAATGTGCTGCAGAAACACTTTTTGTTCGGGAAAGCATCGGATCGACCTGTTTATCTCACCTTGACCTCTCTGTAGGTAACGTCCTTCGCGTCTCACCGGATCGCACCTCCTCCGCGCCCCTCTCCTCATTGGTCACGTTTCTCAGATAACGCTTCGCCACACCTTTACAGTCCGTTCTCGCCTCCTCGCCGACGACAGTCTTCGTCACTTCATTCTTACCCCTACTTTCCACTGCTTCTTGTCCCAACCTGTACAGCCCCCTCTCCCTGCCCCTCTGGGTTCCTTCTTTGCTGTCAGAGTTGTTGGACTCTCCGTTGGGCCTCTCTGTGTCCTGACATGGAACCTGGGCTTCGGTTTTGTCTTGAGCCTGGGTCAGAGTTGCCAGTCTCTGCCTGCTCTCCTTCAGCTCTCCTCTCAGGGTGACCAGCTGCATGTCAGTCTCCTTTTGTCTCTGCTGTGCAGCCGCCAGCTCCCTTTCAATGTCTTTGTGGGCCGTTCTGAGCGCCGTCAGTTCTTCTTCTGTCTCGGCTCTCAGGCGGTCTGCCACCGTCACGGCCACCTGGAGGTCGGCCTGGAACTGCTGCCATTCCCCACGCTCTGTCTGGAAAGGCATGAATGTTGTACGATTGTGTATAAACAACAACGTTAAGACACTTCATAATGGACAATCAATAAAGTTAAACCTCTCTGATGCTTCAAGGTTCGGATAAATCCTTTCGAACTAGCCTTTCGAATTCTGTGAGGCTGAAAATGGCACGCAGAATGGTAACGTACTAATATAAAACACGTATACACCACTCTGCCACAACAATAAAACCACTGACAGCTGAGATGATTTCCTTGTTAAAGAGACAACCAAGAAAAGGAAGGATATATTAGGCAGCAAGTAGTTCTTGAAACTCATGTTGAAAGCTGGAAAAATGGGCAAATGCAAAGATCTGAGCAAATCTGATGAGGTCCAGATCATTATGACTAGTCAGCTACATTTCTTGTGGGGTGTTCCTGGTATGCAGTGGTTAGTACCGACCTACACTGGTCCCAGAAAGGTTAAGTGACATCTGTGTGGTCCCATCCCACAAAGTGAGCAACTGTAGCACAAACTACTGAAGACTTCAATGCTGCTACGACAGAAAGGCATCAGAACATAAAGAGCATCTGAGCTCAGTGCATATGCAGCTGCAGACGAGGCAGAGGGCCAACGCTGACCCCCGCCTATCATCAATAGAACCTTAATGGGCAGGTGAGTGTCAGAACTGGACCATGAAACACATAAAGATTTTGGCCTGGCATGACGAATTGCATTTTCTATTGCATATGTGGACACCCTGGTGCATGTGCATCATTTACCTTGAGAAAGAAAGGCAACGGGATGCACTATTAGGAAAAAGGCAAATCAGTGAAGGCTTGTTTTGGTAATGATTTGGAGAATGTTCTACTGGGAAACCTTGGGTCTTGACATTCACATGGATGTTACTATGATACCATCCATCCATTATCCTCACAAGGGCCAAGGGGGGCTGGAATCTATCCCAGCCGACTCAGGGTGAAGGCAGAGGACACCCTGGACAGGTCACCAGTCTATCACAGGGCTACACTTAGAGACAGACAACCAAGCACACTCACATTCACACCTACGGACAATTTAGAATCACCAATTAACCTCAACGTGTTTTTGGACTGTGTGGGAGGAAGCCGGAGAACCCGGAGAGAACCCACGCTGCACGGGGAGAACATGCAAACTCCACGCAGAAAGATCCCGGGTGTCCTCACTGGGACGTGAACCGGCGACCTTCTTGCTGCCATGTACACCCCTTCATGACAATTGTCTGACAAGATGTTGTGCCCTGCCACACTGTAAAAAAAAAAATGTTCAGGAATATTTTGAAGAATGTGATAAAGAGCTCAAGGTGTTGACTTGGATTCCTCAGATCTCAATCCAGCTGAACCTGGAAACTCACAGGACTTAAATGATCTGCTGCTACGGTCAAGGTGCCTGATACCACAGGACTCCTTTAGATATCGTCTTTTGAGTTCATGCTTCAACTGGTCCGAGCTGTTTCAGTGGCATAAGAGGCACCCACCCAATACGAGGCACGTTGTAGGTTTAAATGTTTTGGCTGATTGGTGTAAAGTTACTTTACATGCCATTAACACAAAGTACAAGAGAGGCAGATGTGAATGTCATTAGTTTGACAGATAATTAATAAAGGATTACAGGAAACATTTCAGGGAAGTCGTAAACCCACAACACTGTGAGATGTGAAGTTCGTGGGACAACCAACGCGAACTGCAGACAAAGACATGTTTCCTATCCAAGAATCTTAACTGGATCTGATTGCCAAAACCAAGCATAGCTGAACCCTCCGCAGACAATGACTATAATCAAATGAACAATCAAATATTCATTTGGCCCTCATTAGAAGACAACAAGTTTAACTGAACTGAGCGTCAAGCCTCGGCACGCCAAGAGAGCTGAGGCTGGCAAGTCAGCTCTAATGAGGCATAACTGAATCATGAGCCAAAAGTGTTTTACTCACTTTTTCTTTAGAAATAACAACATTAACAAGTTTGGACATAGAAATAAAAAAACACAGATTTAAGCAACATTTTTGGAGCCGGACCAAGAACTGCATTGTGAAACTTGCAGTCCCCATCACTGTGGCTGCAATCCAACTGTTTTTTTTTTCTTGTCACTATTAGGCAATGAGGACTCCAAATCACATCTTTGAGGATGAGCGATGCAGAAAAAAAGTTTTCATTCTTCGAGCAGTCAAGCCTCAGACATGCGAAAACACTACCCCAGACATCAAAAGAAGCTCTCGGAACCGCTGAAGCCAAGAGGTAAATGATACCAGACTATTAAAAAATGTTAAGCAACCATCATCATAAAAGGAGAAGTGGGGGCGGGAGGATGTGAAAATAAAATGAAAAGAAGAGAGCGAGGACAATAAAAGTGGTTGAAATCACACGCAGACTTAATGGAGGCAACTTAAGAGCGCAGACTGCGGAGCGATGCGATCGAGCGCTGAGGAGCCGAGGGGTCGGGAAGGTTGGTAATTACATGAAGAATGGATGGCGATGTGGAGGAGGAGGCCGTGTCTGAGCCAAGTCGCTCCCTCATCTGACCAGTGACTCAAGACCACAGCTGGACTCGATTACAGTGGATGCACACACACACACACTAACATTCACATACATATCATATTCCCCTTCCTCCCTCCCTCCCACAAATACACCTCCCCTTCTTCTTCTACCTCAACACCAAAACCGCATTGTTGAGTTTTCTCACATACGTTCAGTTGAAGCGCACTCTCTCTGCCAAACGGATATCAGGATGGCGGTTTGTGGAGCTCTCCAAGTTCTATATTAAGTAAAACTACAAACACCCACTCGGACTTGAGGGATCTTGTCTTTTGTTATCTCTACGCGGACACTCCAACTGGAGCGTGTCTGTTTAAGGAAACAGGAAGGGGCGCTCCTCGGTTCACACTGAGATAACGGTGTGGATTGTCAGTCTTGGGACGCACACACTCGCTCCGTCCCTCAAGGCCTGACCTGGTGCCCCACTGCAAGACCAGATGTGGTATCCAGCCATGACAGACAGACACACACTTGTCTATACTCTTGATGCACACATCTGATCTCCTGACAATTCTTGGAAAAGGGCCAGAACGCTTGGAGATTGCACGCTGTGTGTTGTAAGTGTGTGGTCCAACCATCTGTCCCTACTTCACCTCCACACCCAGTCGTCTCCAACACATACTTGGAGAATCATCCCAACTGTGTAATGGTTCTCCAGATTTCCACAGCTTGTCGTGTGTATTCAGAAATGACTGAATCCACCCTTTAAAAGACGAGGAGCAGACCGATTATCGGTTTGGTTGATAATCAGATCTGGTAATTATCCGTTATTTATTTATTTATTTATTTGGCCTTTGTGCCGTTATTGGATAGTTTTTAGTGAGAGAGAGACAGGAAAGTGGGGGGACGACATGTGGGAAAGGGTCATGAGTGGGATTCGAACCCATGACCTCCACATTGGGACTGTAGCCCTGCACATGGGACGCCAGCTCAACCAGTATTGGCGTCCCGATACGTTATTTTTTTTAAACCAATGCCTGAGAAATAAGTTAATTTAAAAATACACCACTTTCCTCTATCTGTAGTCACCACTCTATGGTTTCCCGCCCACAGCACCATCTGATTGGCTAGGCATCACGAGTCATAGCCAATCACACTGAAGAAAAAGTTCTCTTTTAATTAAACATATGAAAAATATAAACACACTACGACAGTTTCAACAAAGTTTTGTCTTGGCTTTTGTGTTAACTTTAAATTTTAACACACAGACTGTAATTTGTACTGACTCCAAATACTGATTATCAGCCTTCCTGACTATGAATAATCAATATCGGCCCTAAAATAAAAACATATGGTCGACTCCTATCAAAGACAAATAGCACATGACATTACAAAGGAGCCAGAATTGACATAAAAATAACCACAAGTTGAACATCTACATGTCCGTAGTCATCAAATAAAAGCTTGCCTGTTATTCCACTGCTGTTTACCATGCACTGCACACACACCAGGCCTCCTCCCCGACATACTAAATCTTTATTCTACATATAACCCGCCTTCGAGGCCTCTAGATACAGGGCTTTTTTTGGGGGGCCCTGGATTGCGGGAGCAGCCTAGCGAAGAGAAAAGAGAACAGAGAGAACCTTCCTGGAAATCTCCGGCAGCGTTCACCTGGAACTGATTCCAAAGCAGGCCTTTGAGATCGACTAAAATCTCCTGGAGGGAGCGCAAATCTGACCAGCCACCCACACACACCCACTGCTGAGCCATGAATGGAGTGTTTTCATTCTTGTTGGTTAAGACAATTGAAGACTGGTTGTGCACATAAGCACAGACAGATGGTACATTGGATAACATCCTTAGTAGTCCGCTGCACATTGGGTAATCATGTGTCCTTTAGAATTTGACTGAAGTACGTTGGAAGTCGGTTTTGACTGTCAGATATACGGAGAAAGACAGAGGCATTTTGGGAAAGCGGCGATGAAGACGGATGAGGAAAGCACGTAGGAGAGGCTTAGCTGTCAGAATGTGACTGGAAGAATAATGACTTCTTAAATTACATGGAAAAAAAGGTCAAAAATGGGGTCAGATTTAAAGAAAAAAAGGCTTAAATAAGGTAAGGTCAGATGAAAAGATGGATGAATTGGAAGCGCGGCGTAGGAGGGGAGGAAGCGAGAGAGGTGAGTAGGAAAGGAGGGATGAGATAGAGAGTAACACTGCAGCAGGAGTTGTAGGGTAACTGTTTGAGTTCTCAGGGTGGAGCGGTCAGCTCTCTGATGGAGAAAGAAAAAGGCAAGAGAGGCACAGCGAAGGGAGCGAAAGGGAAGGAGGAGGGAAGGCCGTCCTCTGAAGCCAAGACTCTCAATGCATCCGTACGTGTTTGTGCGTCTCACGTGCGGTGCACACACAAAAACACATGGCCAGTCGGTCGCTGCAGCCCTCGGCCCCCGCTACCTCGCTGCACAGCACACAACAAAACACGTTTTGTCTCCCGAACAGCCGAATGTGAACCCCCTCCTCCGCACTGCACTCCCCCTTCTCTGGCTCTCCACAAAAAAAAAAAAGAACGGATCCCAGGACGGCAGAGCAGACTGAGCGGGTTCATAAAGTCGAGCCATGCTAGTTTATATCACCCTACCGAGGGCCCGTGTAAACACAGTGTTGGATTGCCCCCATTTCCATAACACGGCTACCTCTCAGTGCTACACCGCAGCCTCTCTGAGGTTCAGCTGGCCCGGGCGAAGCTTGTGTTTCTAGGGCTCTTATAGGGATGTGGGAAAGTGAAAGAAGAGAGATGAAGCAGAAAAAAAAAACAGAAGGCTGTGAGATTAAATATCAAGCACAGAGAGTCGACATCAAGGAGGTGTGGACGCATTCATGAGAGTCCTACGAGCCAGATTTGCACTTACAAATGTGCAATTAAAATGATTCTAATTTGAATACACGCCAAAAACAAACAAACAAACAAAAAAACAGGGGGTGAAGGAAGGGAGGACAGTCACCAAGGGGGGAAAAAAAGAAGAAGAAAAGAGACTGGGATGAGGGAGGGACTCCGGAGGTCATATTCCAGCTGTTGTAATCTGTGGCAGATCTAGAGGAAGCTGGGAGCCTCCAGCTACAATCCTCATAAGGGAGGGTCAGGAATTGGAACGAGCGACTCACAGGAAATTACCAAAGAACATCACCATCCTCATATAAGTATGGAACGCCCGAGAAATTGGACTGAAGGATTTTTTGCAGAATTCTATGTAACTTTTACTGCGCTTAGGTTGTTCCACTTCTGGTTTGAGGCCTAATAAAGGGTCAGGCCACTCCAGCTGGTGGGTCCCTAGTGGAGAAACCTCTTTTGGCGACGGCTCAACAAAGAGAATTTCACTTCAAACCTATTTTTAATCTGCGGTGACGAAAGCAACAGGTGTCCCGCTAGCGTTTGAGACTTTCGTTGTCAAGCCACGATCATAAGCAACCGTCTTTGATCTTACTCCATCTTCTTGGAGAGAAGATGATGTCAATGATTTTCCTCTTTTGGGCCTCTCAGGAGAAGCACAGGGCAGGAAGACCTTCATTAGCAAAGCTGCAGCTCCCAGGGGGCCGAGGGGGGCCCATTCCAAGGCCTATTGTGATTGGGGGGGATGGAGGGGTGGAGTGTGTGTGTTGGTGTTATCTCCTGCCTCAAAGGTCATAAGTAGTACACTGACTTGTGCACGACTTCCTGTTTACATTTGTGTCTGCTTTACTATTTCAACTGTGCTGGCAAAAAGGACTAATGGTAGAAAATGTGAAATCTTGTAGGAAAAACTAGGAATTAAATAAAATTTCAGTTTTTAGGTGTTTCCTCTGTCAGCGTGGTCCTGGTCCGACTCACTGGATGTAAACTTCAGGTTTCTTCAGGTCAAGCCTGCCACACATTTCACATGTCTGTCTCCTCCCTCTTGATTATCTGCATGTTTTCAAAATCCCCCTCCGCTACGTGAAACCGCAACAACAACCTCCCAGCTAGCACCCTACACACTGAAGACGGCAAGGTTTGCTGAGGACCGTGCTGTAAAGCAAGCCAGCTTGGTTCTTCTAGTGAATTATCCAGTTTAATGACAATGCTCACCTCCCGGAGTGCACATATTCCAACTAAACAACTCCTCGTCACTACTTTCAAGAGCTCCGTCACTACATCCCAGGCTCACCACCACCCA